CTTTCTCTCTCTGTCGGATCTGGAGGAAGGTCCTTGTCATCAGTCTTCCCCGGGCTAGGAGCTTCTCTGCCCAGGAACCCAGGTCCAAAGGACGCGCTCTGCTCCTGGCACTGCTTTCTTGGTGTTTATGAGGTTCCTGTGTCTCTCTGCTCACTTCTCTGTTTTATATCTCAAAAGAGATTGGCTTAAGACACTGTCTAATCTTGTAGACCTCGTCAATATAACTGCTGCTAATCCATTTTATTACATCATAGTGATAGAATTTACAACACATAGGGAAATCACATCAGATGATAAAATGGTAGACAATCATACAATACTGGGAATCATGACTTAGCCAGGTTGACAGATATTTTAGGGGACACAATTCAAACAATGACAGTTGTCAGTGAGTCCTTTTTGACTCATAGTGACCCTGTGTACAACAGAACGAAACACTGCCCAGTCCTGAGCCATCCTCACAATCGTTGTTATGCTTGAACCATTGTTGGCAGCCACTGTGTCAATCCATCTCGTTGAGGGTCTTCCTCTTTTTCTCTGATCCTCTACCGAGCATGGATAGCAGTTAAAAGTTGTGTGATGCAAATACAGATTGGAATTGTATTTTAAATATTTTGATTGCTGGATTATTCTTTAGATGTGTTTTTATATGGAAGCTAGGCCACATGGGGCCTTGGCTTTTAGACAGATCATGTTATTATTTAAGACATACAGAAATTAGTTTTAATGGAGATAACAATGTGCTCTGTGGTCCCAGAGAAAAATTTTGATGGGAGACTGGGAAAGGTTTCAAGGATAAGGTAACATTTAAATAGTTTTTTGAGGTCTGTGAAAAGTCCCTTTTGGGGGAGGGGATAAAGCATTCCATGATGAAGGTAATGCATGAGCAAATACAAATTGTTTGAAAGTATAAAATCTCCAGTGTATTGGAACATAGGTTTTATGATAAAGCTGGTAGGAAATGAAGTTGAAAATATTTGTTATAACTACTGTTATTTATTGAATGCTTATTAAATGCCAAGCCCTGTACAATTATCTTAATGGTTGCAAACAACTTATGACTAGATTCATTGTCATAGTCACAGAGTGAGTAATAATAAGACAACTGAGGATAGAATCCTGATGAATAATGACACTTAACGATTAGGCAGAGAAATAGAAGACTGAAATATGAATGGCTAAGTAT